TGGGATATTTAATGGGAACCACTCCATCCTCTCATTCTCCCTAATCACTGTGGAATTTGGCAAGGAGAGCAGTCAATTTATGAATTCTTTAATTCATTTTTTGGATTTTTTTAATAGTTTTTTTCACAAGTTTTCTTACTAAATGGGAATGATTAGTCAATGTATTATTTTTTAAACCATTTAAAAAAATGGTATTGATTTTTAACTGTTTTTTCACTAAATGGGAAAAATTAGTCAATTTATTGATATTTTACTAATTTTAATTGATTTTTTCTGATTTTTTTACTAAATGGGCAAGATTATTCAATTTGATTTTTTACCGATTTTATTTTTTTTTATCTATTTCTTTACTCAATGGGAAAGATTAGTCAAGTTACTTTTTTTTTACTTTCTAAATCGATTTTTTTTACTGATTTTTAAAATTAAATGGGAAAGATTAGTCAATTTATTGATTTTTTTCACTAATTTTAAAAATTTTTATCGATTTTTTCAACTAAATTTTTTATTTAATAGGAAAGATGGAAATCCCCATCCATTGCAAGGAAATGAAGATATTTCCCCATTTAACTGGAGAAACAAATGAAGGAATATTTCCATATGACAAATGGGATTTTTTTTTTTCTGGGATTTTTCCCACTTTATTATGGCCATAACCCCTCCTCAGACCAGAGGAAGGCAAACCCCTCTAACCTGGGAGGGTTTCCTGAATTCTCTGTGCTGATGGATGACAAAGGACCCTGTTCCAAATGACTTCTGGGATTTTCCCAATTTTTTTATGGCCATAATCCATCCTCAGAGCACAAACCCTCTTATCTGGGAGGGTTTAGTGACTCCTCAGTCCTGAATGACAAAGGGCCCTGGTCCAGGTGGATTTGGGGATTTTTCCCACTTTATTATGGCCATAATCCATCCTCAAACCAGAGGGAGGAAAACCCCTCTAACCTGGCAGGGTTTTTCTTCCTCTGTCCTGAAAGACAAAGGGCCCTGTTCCAAATGATTTCTGGGATTTTTCCCACTTTATTATGGCCATAATCCATCCTCAAACCAGAGGGAGGAAAACCCCTCTAACCTGGGACACCCCCAGCCTTGCAAACCCCTAACAATGGATTTGAACACTTTAGGCCCCAGTGTGTTCCACACCAGCCAAGCCATTTTTAGTCATTATCAAACACTCTGGAATTCATCGAGGCTCCTGAAACATAAATTGTGCTAAACTGGGAAAGAAGAGGCTGAAAAACCAGAACTAAGATAAAGAAAGGCTGTGAAGCACTGGGCTGGAATCAATCATTCACTGCAAGGTGTGTGCAGAGCTCTGGACAAGAGAGGCACCAGCAGTTTTAGAACGTTTAAATAAATGTTTTCAGAATGTTTTTAGTTTTAGAATGTTTAAGTAAAGCACGATGTAAACAAGTGGTTTCTGCCAATCCCATGGGTTATTTGATCAGAAGGAGCCCCCATCCCATTATCCCATCCCATTATCCCATAATCCCATTATCCCACCTGACAAAGGAGTAGCCTTTATCTGGGAACACTCGGATCTCCATGATCTGCCCGAAGGGGGAGAAGGTCTGGCGCATCAGCTGCTCTGCAGCAGGAAGGACAGACAGACAGAGCAGGTCAGGCACCCCTGGGGACACGTCAGGAACCCCTGGGGACACGTCAGCCACCCCTGGGGACACGGGGACAGTGGCAGGGGGGTCAGGCACCCCTGGGGACATGGGGACAGTGGCAGGGGGGGGTCAGGGACATGGGGACAGTGGCAGGTGGCAGGGGG